ATGTTGCATCTTTATACAATTTGTACAAGCTAGGCCCAAGTTCCTGGCCTCCGCCCATGCTCCTCCCTTTGCACGACCCTGGCAAGTTCGATGATTTCTCTTCGAAGTATTATGATGCGCCTCCCCTGTTCGTTTGTGCTCGTGCATCTGATCAGGAGTGGAAGTAAGGGTCACTGTGGCCCGCTCGGAAAAAAACAAAAAACGCCGATCCCCATCATCTCTCCCATTTCATAAGAATCAATGCCGCCACAACTGGATGTCGGGGTTGGCGCGCGCTCCCCTCTCGGCGAACGGTGCGGGCGCACGCGCGCGCTCAGCCCCGTTTTCCACGATTTGGCGAAGGAAACGACACGGGGCCACAAACAGGCGGACGCGGAACTCTCGTGAACATCCTGCGCCACTTGTCGGCGAGAGGACCATTCAGCCCTTCCGCGCGCGGACAAGCGACCCTCCCGCGCGACTTGTGGCACGTCCACTTGCTGCTGCGCATCTTGCATCGCCGACGACACAACGTCCATGCTCAAAAAAACGACGTTGACGTTGAACGGATCTTGGTTGGTACGTGGCCCCCCCCGCACTTGGCCTCTCACTGGCTGGCTAAGTAGCGTAGTGGAGTAAAAACTGACAAGGGGTGAAGCGTCTGGGTCGCAGTAAGGACGACTAGCGAACAATTCAGGGGATCAGACCAAAGAAGAAAAGAACAATGCAGAGTGAAGTATATTCAGCTCGACCGAACTGAGCTCGCCGGGGTGCAGTTTGCAAAACATGTGGTTCACAACTGGCACCCTGGGGGGCACCCTGGGGGCGGGCGGGGACTTCGATAGAATTCTCCGCAGCTCCCCTGGGCCCAACGAGAACAGCGTCGTGCCCCTCAGGCCAACAACGCCGCCGAACGCAAACCACACCCCGGCATAACCACACTACTTGTGGGAAACCAACAAGTACCGGCACCGCTACTCGCTAAACGTCTCCTGAGGCGCGCTCTCGCCAGAGTTTCGAGGGAGGCGACACAGAGGCCGCGCACGGGCGCGCGCGGAACTCACACAACATCCCTGCGCGGCGCTGCGGTAACAGCGCGGTTTGGCTCCGTCTGGCGGCGCGCGCAAGGGGGTAGGCATACGTTTCTCTTCGGACCTCGGATTCTCGGCGGCTGAAAACTGCCAAGTGGTCGTGCTGGTATGCAACTGCCAGAAATAATGAGCCCTGTGCTCCTCGCGCCAAGACGAACCCCAGCCCGCTGACACTCGTGGTGGGCGAGGCGGCTGTTGCTGATCGACAGGCCCGCACCACTGGACCTCCTGCGCGCACAAGGGGGGGTGGGGGAAGGGAGGAGGCCTCGTATAGGGAGCCTGCTCCTTAGAAGGCGCTGGCCTTACAGCGGTAGATAAGGCCCGCGCCCTCTGACAAGCAGGGGTGCTTCTAAGAAGCCTCCCCCTTCCCCGTTGCCCCCTCTCCGCGCCTGCCCGAAGTATCTCGCGCGGTCAGATTTCTGCGCCGCGCCAGAGCAGCACTGCCACGTCCACGCGAAATCTGCACGACGCCTCGGCGAAAACAACGTGTCGCCCGCTTTCGCACGGCCCCGCTGCCGCTGCCGTTTTCCGATGGTTCGGCGGACACGCGCCGCGCTGGAGCAGGCACAGCACTTCCAGGCGAAATCTGCACAGGCATCTTGGGCGAGGGTCCAAACTCGCCCGTTCGCGCGCAGCCACGCCCCCAACGACTTGGGAGTGGAAAGTATGCGCCCTGCCAAGCGCGGGAGCGTGAGCGTCACTTTCAGGCAACATGCGAGCGGCACCGAGGCGAAAGCGGCATTTCGCCAGCTCGCGCATCACCCTGCTGTCGACGAGTTGATGAGCTAAAAACGTGCCGCGCGCATCCACGGGAATTCACTCGCCCGGAAAGCGACGGCGGCACCGGAGCGAAAGCGACATATCCCCGCTGGCGCGCGATGCGCGCCGGGTCATTTTCCTGCCACGAGTTCATAGAATCGACGAGCACATTTTTTTGAAGACAAATGGAAACATGTTGCATACGTATACACGCACTTGCAAAAAAAAAGGATTCGCTTGGTAACATGGCAAGTCGCGGATGCGTGGGTTACGGACCAGCTAAGTGGCAGAGCGGGACGATATACGTCTCAGGTATAAGGACGGGATGGACGGGGGAAACACAATGCAGAACAACATCAGTAGATAAGTGTCGCAGATGTAGTAACAGTAGCCGTAGTAGTAGTAGTAGTAGTAGTAGTAGTAGTAGTAGTAGTAATAGTAGTAGTAGTAGTAGTAGTAGTAGTAGTAGTAGTAGTAGTAGTAGTAGTAGTAGTACTGGCACAAGTAGTAGTCATAGTAGTAGTAGTAGTAGTAGTAGTAGTAGTAGTAGTAGTCGTAGTAGTAGTAGTAGTAGTCGTAGTAGTAGTAGTAGTAGTAGTAGTAGTAGTAGTAGTAATAACTAAGACTACAAAGAACAGATCAGTAGTAGTAGTAGTAGTAGTAGTAGTATTAGTAATAGTGGTAGTAGTAAAAGTATTCGTCGTATCGCTAGTAGTAGTAACCGTAGTCGTAGTAGTAGAAATAATACTAGTAGAAGTAGTAGTAACGGAAGTAGTAGTCGTAATAATAGTTGTGATAGTAGTGGTCGTAGTTGTAGTCGTAGTAGTAGTAGTAGTAGTAAAAGAAAACGTACTCGTAGTCCTCGTCGTAGTAGTAGTAGTAGTCGTACCAGTAGTAGATGCCGAAGTAAAAGTACTCGTAGTAGTAATCGTGGTACTAGTAGCAGTAGTAGCAGTAGTCGTAAGAGTAGTAGTAGTAGTAATAATAATAATAGTACTCGTAGTAGGAATGATAATAGCAGTGTAGTCGTAGTCGTAGGAATCGTAATAGTAGTAGTAGTAGTAGTAGTAGTAGTAGTAGTAGTAGTACTAGTACTAGTAGTAGTAGTAGTAGTAGAAGTAGTCGCGGTAGTAGTAATAGTGGTGGTCGCCGCAGTAATAGTAATAGTATTACTATTATTAGTAGTAGTAGTAGTAGTAGTACAAGTAGAAGTAGTAGTAATAGTAGTAGCGGTAGTAAACATAAGAATAATAGTAATGGTAGTTCGAAGTAACAGTTGTATTAGTGATCATAGCAGTAGTAGTGGTAGTAGTAGTAGTAGTAATAGTAGTAGTAGTAGTAGTAGTAGTAGTAGTAGTAGTAGTAGTAGTAGTAGTAGTAGTGGTAGTAGATGTGGTAGTAGTAGTAGTAGTGGTAGTAGTAGCCGCCGTAATCGTAATCGTACCCGGCGTGGTAGTAAGTGGTAGCAGCAGCAGCAGTAGCAGTAGCAGTTGTAGTAATAGTCGTGGTCGTCCTCTTCGCCGCCGTAAACGTAGTAGTAGTAGAAGTAGTAGTAGTAGTAGTAGTAGTAGTAGTAGTAGTAATACTCGTAGTAGTCGTAAAAGAAGAAGTGGAAGTAGTAGTGATAGTTGTAAAAGCAGCCGCCGTAGTAGAAGTAGTAGTAATACTAGTGGTGGAAGTATTAGTAGTAGTGGTACTCCTGCGACTACGGCTAGAACTAGTGATGATAACCGTTGTAGTGGTAGTCGTAGTACTACTACGGCCCCTACTGCAAGTAGCACAATGCCAGTAGCAGCCGAAGTCGTAGTAGTAATGCTAGTAGTAGTTGTAGTAATCGTAGTAGAAGTAATTACAATGCTAGTCGGAGAAGGACTCGAAATCTTATAAGACGTACAGGTACTAGTATCGGTAGTAGTAGTAGTAGCAGTAGTAGTAGTAGTAGTAGTAGTAGTAGTAGTAGCAGTAGCAGTAGTAGTAGTAGTAGTAGTAGTAGTAGTAGTAGTCGTACCAGTAGTAGTAGTCGTACCAGTAGTAGTAGTAGTAGTAGTAGTAGTAGTAGTATTAGTAGTAGTAGTAGTGGTAGTAATAGTAAGACCAATGGTAGTAATCGTAATAGTAGTAGTGACGGTCGTAGCCGTAGTCGTGACTACCGTAGTAGTAGAATAATAATACTAACCAAAAAACCATACTCATAGCAGTCGTAGTAGTAGTAGCAGTAATAGTAGCATTCGTCGTCGTCACGTCGTCGTAGCAGTACTGAAGTAGGCGTAGTAGTAGTAGCAGCAGTAGTAGTCGTAGTAGTAGTCGTAGTAGTAGTAGTAGTAGTAGTAGTAGTAGTAGTAGTAGTAGTCGTCGCCGTAACAGTAGTCGTGGTAGTAGTAGTAGTCGTCGTAGTAGTAGTAGTAGTAGTAGTAGAAGAAGTAGTCGTATTAGTAGTAGTAGTAGTAGTAGAAGTTGTACGAGTAGTAGTGGTAGCAATAATTGGAGTACGAGTGGTACTTGTACTAGTAGTAGTAGCAGTAGTAGTAGTAGTAGTAGTAGTGGTCGTAGTAGTAGTAGTAGTAGTGGTAGTAGTAGTAGTAGTCGTCGTAAAAGTAGCGGTCGTAGTAGTAGTAGTAGTAGTAGTAGTAGTAGTAGTAGTAGTAGTAGTAATAGTAGTAGTAGTAGTAGTAGTAGTAGTAGTGGTAGTAGTAGTAGTAGTAGTAGTAGTAGTAGTAGTGGTAGTAGTGCTAACACTCGTAGTAGTAGTCGTCGTCGTAGTAGTAGTAGTAGTAGTAGTAGTAGTAGTCGTCGTAGCTTTGTTTTGCAAATTCCCCTCGAAGGGGAGTGAAGTATTCCAGACCAGTATAGGACGTGGTCAATACACCTGGCGCGGTAAATTAAAACTTTCGCGTACCAAATCATAGAGCTTCAAACTCGTTCAAAACGTTTTGCATTATAAAGCCTGCCCCAGTCATACCAGAAGCCACGATTGATCTAAAACATGAAAGCTGATTGAGCATCTGAGTGTGGGTCAGGCAGGCGGACCCTGACGGGCGGGTCGGGCGGGCAGACCCTAATGATTGGGTCAAGTCGGGTGGGCGAACCCTCCCGGGCGAGTCAGGCAGGCAGACTCTAACGAGGCCACTGATGCGCAAAAAACAATCAAAAGCACGGAATGTATCCTTGTGCGCAATCAGCTTGCGAAGTTGACGGTCAAACCTTTCGAGTATGTCCTTCTCCGCGAGCGCCAGGCTGTCAAGACCGTTAAACTCGATGAGGTTGGGAGCCTGCGAATTCGGCCGAAACTTCATTACACCATCCTTGATCTGCTGGCCTTTTCCATGAGCTCTTCATCCTGGTATGACTTCCGCCCTGCAGCTAAAAACGATATACCCGTTGGCAGAGGCATGTTGACGATGGAAGGAAGCGAAATACATGGAACTTCAGATAAGGTGGACAAACGATTGGAGCACAAAGCTGATGGCAGAAATGTGATGGCAAAGCTGAGCACCTCAAAGGGGATGCCCGCGATCACGCTAAGCTCCACCGCCTCACGAATTCTTCGACGTCGTCGCCGCACCTTGAACCCCCTTGCGCTTCAATTGCTAACTCTTCATCCCCGTGCTCACTTGAGCACTCCACCGCCGATGCTCGCCATTCGACGTAACCACTCTTGGTGGACTGGGACGAAGCGATTCGGGTATCGGTACTATAGCATGGCTGGTCCAGAGCGATGCAGGCTACCTCACAATAGTTGAATGCAGAAGAATCGCAATATCATGTTGTTGGGCAGTGCGCTGTCAAGGTGGCACTGCCAAGGGAGCAAAAACGCGATGTGGAAATAGGCTGAGCTATGGGACATGCAGTGAACGTCTCTGTGTTCGGACTCACGGCCCCGCTTCAATCGCCGACACTCCCCTCGATCAAGCAGAAGGCCCATGCCCACTTTTCGTTTTATCCTGTCCTTCTCTTCCATGCCTCGCCAGAATGGTGAACTGGTGAACACAGTCCTGCGTGTAAAGATTCTGTAAAGCAGACAAGACGAGAAAGCGCTGCGGCGCCGGGAGTGGCTGCTGAGACACGCGCTCGGGACAGAAGACTGATGGCGTCGTCGGTCGCTGGACGTTGCACCCTGACCCAAACTCTGCTGTGCCCCCTCGGCAGCGACGATAGGGGCGAACAGCCCAGGGGGCGGGCATTACACGCATTCGCCCAGGAGCCTCTTCGAAGACATAGATCATCGGCGCACCTGAGTGCATGTACTGCTCTCCCCTGGGCTGTTCGCCCCTGTCGCCGCCTCTGACCCCCGGGCTTCCCTCCGATCCTCATCCAAAGTCGCAGGCGGCTGCCAGCTCCCCGCCGGCCCGCTCCTCTCCGCCTCGACGGCTCCGCTCGCGGACCCCCTCCCCCCGAGGAATAGTCGGCTACACGCAAGAGTGACCCTGGGCAAGAGTGACCTCGGGTGCGCAGCCCAACGGGGGACGCGGGGGGGGCCAGACATGGGCGCGCAAGCCGCTGCTATCGCATCGCTTTCGGCGATTGGGGCACCCCCTTGGGCCCGCACCAAAGACCACTCCGGCGAAAGGTCACTCTCACGTCTAGTCGAGAATAGCAGCAGGGCCTGCCCCCCCCCCCACCCCCGGCCGGTCCTTTCCGAGCACGCCCACGGCCACACCACCGCAGCCGAAGCTCAGGAACAGCCAGAAGCCCAGGGGCGCCAGGTGCGGTGGCCCGGCCTGGCCGCCTGAAGGCAACAAGTGGGGCATCTGCTCTGCCTCACTGCTTCCCCCTCCTCCCTCCGCCTCACTGCTTCCCCCTCCCGCCCAAGCACTGTCACGGGCACGTCTTGGATTCTGCAATCAGCGAGGCGCCATTCAGGGGATCTGGGTCTGCCACACTCCTCGGCCCAGGATGGTCAAGGCATGGCCTCAAGACAGCCCCCTGGCAGGTCCAAGACGGCCTCTAAGCGATTGAAGCCCCCAGATCAGCACTGGCCCAAGAAAGCTCAAGGCCAGCTCAAAACGGCTCCAAGTGAGCCACGAGAGCCTCCCAAACGTCTCCAAAACATACAAGACGGGTCCAGGACGCCCAAGAAACCCCGACAGGCGCCAAAGAGGCCCCTGGAGGACCCGAAAAAGGGCGACAAAGAGGCAATCCAACAACCATTCATTGCTGCGCTATGGCATGTCTCCGCTGATTCCCGGGGTGCGGTGGAAAAACATGCGCACAATCACAACCAACTAGTTATGAATCCATTTTGGCACCCACACACATACATACATGCGAACGCACGTGAACGAACCATACAGACGCGACTTGTCACATGCACGAAACATGATCTCACATGCGACACATACCAGCATCCTCAACTATCCATACGACCACCCTTAAAGATATATGGAGGTTTGTGGGGATGCGTGCAATTCTCGGCTTGCGATTGAAATTGGGCGAGATTCGGGATCCATCTATCTCACGACCTCGATATGTACCTATCAATTGATTTCCTTGTCGATCGGTCTCTCGGTGTTTCCATCGATCCCGAAATCAAGCTGTCAATCGGCATCGCGGTCGATGGGTTTTACTAGATGCCAACCCAGAGATCGAACCATCAATGATACCTCTATACACATTCGTTACAGCAAATACTGACGCCTTGGGGGGGGGGCCGGCCCGTGGGGGGTCTTCTCGGCGGCCTCGTGGACCGTCTTGAAGGCCTTTGTGGCCGTCTAGGAGCAGCCTTGGGCTGTCTTCGAGCGCTCGTGGGCCGTCCAGAAGCCATCACAGCGCGCTCGTCAGCCATATTTCAGACAACCTGGTGCGCTGTGGGGGCCTCGCGGGCCAGCTTGGGGGCCTCCGGGGGGATCCGGGGTCCCCTTGTGGGACAGTTTGGGGCGATTTTGTTGGTTTTTTGGGCCGTCTGGGAGGCCCCTTGGGATGTATTGGGGCGATGTCGGGGTTCTCTGATGCCGTCGTGGACGCTTTTCATACCATATAGGAAAAATGTTAAAAGTAGAGGCTTCCCAAGACAATTGGGGCGATGTTTGCACCTCGCCGGCCCTTATGGGTGTCCTCTTGGAGCCCTGTTGGGGGGCCTCTCGGGCTGTTGAAAAGCCATCTTGGGCGTCTTGGCGCGCCCTTGGACCGTTTCGGAGGCCTCCTGGACCGTCTGGGGAACGCCTTCGGGCCCTCCGAAAGCGGGCGAACAAGCCCGCCACAGGCGCATAAATTTTCAAGCTATCAAACGAACCCCCCGCAGGCACCGATTTTCTGTTAAAACAAAGTGGGTGGGTCACGGGTTGGGTCGCAGGCTGGGTCGACGGTGGGTCGCGGGTGGGCCGCGGGCCGGGTCGCGGGCGGGTCGCGGGCGGGTCGCGGGCGGGTCGCGGACGGGTCGCACGTGCGTCGCGGGGCGGGTCGCGGGCGGGTCGCGGGGCGGGTCGCGGGGCGGGTCGCGGGCGGGTCGCGGGGCGGGTCGCGGGGCGGGTCGCGGGCGGGACGACGACAACAAACAACAGCAACGACGACAATCATTTTACCGGCATGCGCCATGCATCCACATGTCACACGCATCCGTCAGGATACCACGCCCCATCATGGGGGATTGTTCTGGCACGCGGGGCCCGACATTCCCTCGCCCACATATCCCGCCGAAGAAAAGATTGCCGCCGCCTCTTCCGAGAAACTTCGACCGCCGCAGCTCGGACGGCACATCGCCATCGCAATCGCCTTGCGCACGCCCCGCATCTCGGAGGATGAAGAGGACGAGGAGGGGAGGGGAGATGAGGGAGAGGAAGAGGGAGAGGAGGAGGAGGAGGAGGAGGAGGAGGAGGAGAAGGCGGAGGAGGAGAAGGAGGAGGAGGAGGAGGAGGGAGGAGAAGGAGGAGGAGGGGGAGGAAGGAGGAGTAGTTGTTGTAGCAGTACCTCCGGGAACGAGGTGGTTCTTACTCCTCGCTCGAACTGTTACGCCACCATCCTGCGGCCTCGGCGCGTGGCCCTCAACGTTCACGCCCCCAGGCGCTGCCGCCCCCATGCTCGCATCCTCCACGTGCCCCTTCCACACCCTCTCAAGGAATCCCTGAAGTCAATCCTTCGACCCTCGATTCTTGGAGTCCCTGGAAGTCATCCGTCCTCCTTCTTCTCCTACTCCTCCACAGTATCTTATGCTCTCCAAAAATGATAGTTGTCTAATAACTAAGGCTCAACAAAGACTGTCGGAAGCCCCCCCTGAGGCGGTGCCGAAACGAGGGCCCCAGTCTTGAGTAAACGGTGAGGAAGTATCAAACGGGAGCGACGAGGGAGGACGGAACGGAAGGGAGGAGGGAGGAGGGAGGCAGGAGGAGGGAGGAGACAAGGGGGACGAAAAGGGAAAGGAGGAGGGAGGAGGGAGGAGGAGGGAGGAAAGAGGGACGGGAGAAGGAGGAGGGAGAAGGGAGACGAGGAGGGGGTTGGAGGGAGGAAGAGAGAGGATGAGAGAGGGGAAGGAGGGAGGAGGAGGAGGAGGAGGAAGAGGAGGAGGAGGAGGAGGAAAAGGAGGAGGAGGAGGAAAAGGAGGAGGAAAAGGAGGAGGAAAAGGAGGAGGAGGAGGAGGGAGGACGAGGGGGGAGGACGACGAGGAGGGGGGGAAAAGGGAGGAGAAGGGGGGGAGGGAAGAGGAGGGAGGAAACAGGGACGGATGAGGGATGAGGGAGGAGGGAGAAGAGGGGGTAGAGGAAGGAAGAGGGAGGAAGAGAGACGGGGGAGGAGGGAGGAGGAGGAGGAGGAGGAGGAGGAGGAGGAGGAAGAGGACGACGAGGACGAGGAAGAAAAGGAGGAGGAGAAAGTGCGCCTGTCCAGCGTAAAACGGGAGGAAACCTCGGGCGGGAGCGCTGGTTTTGTCGGGACGGGGGCTTTTGGCGGCGAGCAAGAGAACCGCCTTGAGTAAAAAAGGGAGGAAGTCTCGGGCAGGAGCGTTGTTGTTGCTGGGGGGGCGGCGCCGATGAGAGAAAGAGTAGCGCGCCTGTCCAAGATAAAACGGGAGGACGTCTCGAGCGGGAGCGTTGGTTTTGTTGAGACGGCTGCTTTCGGCGGCGAGCCAGAACAGGGGCCCGAAATAAAAAAGAGGACGTCTCGAACGGGAGCGTTGTTGTTGTTGTTGTTGTTGTTGTTGTTGTTGTTGTTGTTGTTGTTGTTGTTGTTGTTGTTGTTGTTGTTGTTGGGAGGCCGGTTTGGGCGATCCCTCAAACCGCTTGAAAGTGAGCCTCATGTTCAATGAAAATGCAGCCGGCGCCTCGGCGAGAGCGCCAGGGCGCCTATACGAGGTCCAACAATACTAATTGATTATAATAATTAACACTCAACGCAACAAGCAAAATCCTCACCACGGAGTCTCGCTTTAGCCACGCACCCAGGGACAATGAATGACGGCTCGGCCCCCTTACTCTGATCAGAGAGCGGAGGCCGAACGGTCATTCATTGTCCATGGGTGCGTGGCTGAAGTGGGGTTACGTGGCTCATACTATTATTGATTATTGTTTGTTGCTTGTTGTAAGTGTTTTGTTTTTGTTGTCGTCCTCGCCCGCGATCCCCCCCGCGACCCACCCGCGACCCACCCCGCGACCCACCCGCGACCCGCCCGCGACCCACCCCGCGACCCCCCTGCGACCCACCCCGCGGCCCACCCCGCGACCCACCCGCGACCCACCCGCGACCCACCCCGCGCCTGCCCCCTCACTCTTATCCGCACCTTCGGGGTTCTACATATTTGTTGCCTTCGGAGCAGAAGGTGCGGGGTGGGTCGGGGGTGGGGGACCCCAGCGGGCTTGCAACAGAGGTCACCCAACGAAAGGTCACTCTTGCGTGTCGTCGATCTCAGATCCTCAACCTCCAGCAAACAGGTCCCATCGTCGGCCTGGGTAGCAAGCAGCTGCACGCGGGAGCTGAACCTGAGGCTGCAGTGACCACTTAGCCTGGGCATCGGGTACCCTTGGAGACCGTGACGTCGGGGTCTCTCTGACCCAGTCCCTCCCCCAGCCACCCCTTCTCGTAGGCGAAAAACAAATCCGTATCCGCGGCCTCGCAGGCAGGGCCCCTGGGCCGCGACCCCGCGGATGCAAGGTTTTTGCTCGCGGACGCCCCCCGCGTGGAACGTATCCGTCCGACTACGTATCCGCGGGGTCGCGCCCAGGAATCCAGGCCGCGAGGGCGCGGACATGGGTATTATTTCCGCCGTTCGGTGACCCTCATCACTTCGCCGAGCGGCGCCGAAGGCCTTGCGCGCTGCCATTGCCCAGCGGCGGCAAGCGCGGTCGCAGCTCGGGTTCCCGCGGCTGGGCCGGCCTCCTCAAGGGGCGAAGGCTGGGAGGTGAGAGCGCCGCGGGCGCGCCGCGGGCAGGCCAGACTCCGAGCGGAATCCCCCGCGCTGCTCCCTTCAAGCCCGACTCGCGTAGGGGGCTGGACGCGTGAGACGCGGACCTCTGGCGAAGCTCAGCGTCTGGGGATCCAGCATGCCACTCAGCCCATAGGCAAGCATCCCGGATCCCTTTCTGGCCCCGTCCTCGCACACCCCGTGGCTCTCGGAGGTCGAAACTGGGGTGCATGTGAGACATCGTTTCTTGATCTCTCGCGTTACACTGAGAGATGTGGATTAATCCCGCCAGCCCTCTGGGCGGAGGTGACTTAGCGCGCTCCTTCTTCCAACCCCCTTCTTCACATCGGGGAAAGGTTTACCACTGTTCTGCTTTAAAAACGCCCCCTCTCCGCTTGACTGGCCACCAACAAGGAACCATGAGCAACCCCCCAGCATCGCTGTCGAAGCAACGCAAAGCGACGTAAAAGCAAAATCTGGATCGTGAGCGGGACCCCGCGACCACTTTGCATGGGCTTTTGACACGGGTGAAGGGGCTGAGAACATATTTGTCCAACGTGCGCTGCCAAATTCTCACTGCCAGTAAGAAGATCAAGTTCGTTGATGGCGCGCACACACACACACACCATACAAAATGCTGACCAGCCCGCTCCCACTTTGCAATGTTTTTTGACACGGATGGTCGAGTGACCAGCATCTTGCCCGTGCTGCCACGTGCACTGGCGAACCTGGCGCTCTGCATGCGCGCCTGGCGCGCATGTGCCCCCGGGGCACCTGGCGCACCTGCTGCACGCAGCGCACCTGGCACGCGTGGCGCATTTCGGCAGCGTCGCACACCTGACGCCGGCATTGGTTCTCAATCGCCGTCCATCCGATGGCGACTTCTGTCTAAAACGATTCTCGGGTACTGCTTCTATAATGGAAGGGCGGGCGGGAGTGAGCGGGAAAGCTCGTGGCGCTCCCTTCGCGAACTTGTCTCCTCCCACTCCCCCTACCCTGTCCCCTGGGTCTGGACCAGGGGGGCGCGAGAAGTTCGAACGTCCAAGGTGGCCACAAACCCTTGTAAATAGCACGCGTTCGCACTCACGAGGCCACAGTCCCTGGTAAACTGCAGCAAGTTAAATGCCGGCGGCCATATTCCGATTTAAATCTCGACGCACCCGATACTGTGAACCCAGTTTCACCGGGTGACACAAGCCACCTCCTCTCCAGAGCAAAATAACTGTCAGTCCACAAACAGTGCTTGCTCTTAGGGATCCTTATGTCGCTTCTCAGGAACTGCGCCCTTTGGCGCCCCCAGCGGGTCCATTCCCGCATGTCCCCGGCGGGTTCGTTCCCGCCCGTCGCCAACCCTGCGCTGCACTCGTCCCCCGTTTTGCATTGCTTGTTGCATCACATTACATCGCTCTGCATTGCTTTGTGGTTTGGTGCATTGCTTGGCAGTGCGGTGCATTGCTTTGCACTGCTTTGCACTGCTTTGCATCGCATTGCATGGCTGCGCATTGATGTGCACGGCTTTGAATTGTACTACCTTGCTTTACAGTGATTTGTATTGGATTGCATCGAGTTGCATTGCTTTGCATTGCTGCGCATCACTTTGCATTGATTTGCATTGCTCTGTCTGACGTTGCATGACGGTGCGCTGCTTTTCATTACTCTGGAATGGTGTGCATTGCTTTGCATTGATTTGCATCGCATTACTGCTTGCATTCATGTGCATTGCTTTGCATTTCGTTGCATTGCAGTTCAGTGCGTTGCATTGCATTGCATTGCATGGAGTTGCGTTGTGTTGCATATGTTTGCATTGCAGTTCGTTGCGGTGCGTTGCGTTGCATCGCATTGCTGTGCGTTGTATTGGTTTGCATTGCGCTGAACTGCGCTGTATCGCAGTGCATTGACTTACAGCGCGTTGCTTTGCATTAACCTGCATTGCATTGCATTGCGTTGCATCGCGCTGCATTGCTTTGCATGAAATTGCATCGTACTGCGTCGCATTACACTGCATTGCGTCGCATTGCTTTGCCGCGCTTGGCATACCATTGTAATGTAGCGCATTGGGTTGCATTGGTTTGCAATGCTTTGAATTGCGCTGCATTGCATTGCATTGCGTTGCGCTCAGTTGCACTGCTGCGCGTTGCGCTCAGTTACACTGTTGCACATAGGTGTGCGTTGCGTTGCACCGCTTGCATCGCATTACATCGCAGCGCATTGCTTTGCACCGCATAGACTGCACCAAATGTATTGCCCCGCCTAGGTCGTACCACATTGGTTGCGCCACCTGAGTTGCACCGCACATGCGGCAAGAAATCAATGTTTGGGGCCCACGATGGCTAGCATTCTCCGTGTTGGGATATTTGTTCGGGAGGGAGGGCGCTTGTCGGCTCCCCTGCCGTTTCCTGAAATGTCGGCGCTGGAGCCGAGAGCACGAATCCTCAGGCGTAGCGAGGGGTGCGCGCTCCCGAGGCCGCGAACCCTTGCACATTACAACCGAGGCACACCCCCGAGGCCACCATCCTAGATCTCACGACTACAGATGCGCACAACCCGCCTGCCCAAACCAACAGCTAACAATCTGCTTCCCTGGATAACATGCCAGCCAAACGAGTCGCCAGTTGCCAGCCCAGCAACCGCAGCCATCGTTTGGGAGCCTGGCCCCCCCAACGCGACTTGCGCGTCAGGGAAGTTCGAAGAAAACTGGCCCCGCACACGTCGATGAGGTGTCCTCAAAGTTCCAAGGATCCCCCACTCTTTGCCACTTCGCCAAGCCCCACCCCACACCACCGCTCCTCCAAGATTCCCACAGGCATGGGCCTGCTACAAATGAAGATCCAGATAATTGTGCTGGGGGAGGGCGCCGAAGATTTGGAGGGAGCAGGGCTGCCTGGAAGGAGGAAGTTGAAAGACATGGACCACGGGCAGATCGTGTGGGTCACCTGAGCCCGAGAAATTTGTCGCGAGATTATGGGAGGCAAGTCCTGTTCAGAAGCAGCTGGGCTACCTGCTGGGATGGGAGTGAGGGGCCTCGTGCGTTCCGTCCTAGCACGGCTGGCTGACGACAAAGCGACCTGAAGATCCCATGCGCTGCCACCCAGAGGCAGCAGCAGAACTCGGAAGGTACACTGTCAAGGCATCTCCTTCGCCGGCTGGACTTCTCGCTCTTGCGGTGCTGTCTGCGATGTCCGCTGATGTCCTCCTCCACGAACTCGTGGACCTGACACAGCTGGCATGTTCATGATTGCTTGTCTGCTGGCTCGGGATACCCACATCTGCTATACCATCGTTCATCGGCACGCGTTGCAATCCACATGATGATACAACATTGAACCTCTTCCTCAAACCATGCTTGATGCTAGCGGTCAACGCATCGATGAGTCGCGCCCCCATCGTACGGGATTATTACGAAGGGCGTCGAACAGCCTTACACTGTCCTTGGGTGCGCGGCTTGATGAGGCGTCTTTGGTCCCGTCAGACGTTGTCGCTGCCACCGCGGAAGCCGCAATGCCCACGCGCAAATCCGCCGACCCCCTTCGGCGTGTGTGAGACGCTGTCGTCGTCTTCATCGTCGTCGTCGCCAATCCCCAACAAAACTAGGAACAACAGAGAAAACGGAAGCCGTACTTAAGTCGATTCCCTTCCCTTTCCCCTTCCCTGACAGGGGGTCGGGTGGGTAAGGGGGGGTAGGGGAGGGGTAGGGGGAGAGGGGGTAAGGGGGGGGGGCAGCGAGGGGGTATGGGGGGGGGGTCGAGGGCCCCCCCGAGACGGCAAGCCGCATCGCTCACTCCCATCCGCCCTCCCAACACATAAGCAGTTCCCGAGTCTCAGCGCATCTCCGAGGAGCGCCACGCATGCAATGTGCGCCACGGGTTCAGGTGCACCAGGCACCCCGGAGGCCCAAGGATGCGAGGCGCGGCAAGTGCGGCACGTGCTTCACGAGAGGGCTGGGATGCTGTTGGCATGCGCAATCTGGAGGACGACGAGCCTGGCATCGACGACTGCTGTTCTGATGATGGCCCTGCAACCCCTGAGCGGTGGGACCATGTGGACATGGCGAAATGAGACCCCACGTGGTCTGCGCAGCGGGGCCGTGAGGTCCTTCTCTCAACTACAACATAAAAATAAACATCTACCAAACAGTAAACCGAGGGCCGACCGATAATGGGATTCTGCCTTGTTTTCTGACAAGGATGGCTGGCCTGCGCGCATCAAGCAACATCCTGGCACCCCCGCAATCCCTGCCAAAAACAAATGCGGAGTGGTCGCGGGGCGCCAGCGCATGCTCGAGATTTGGAGGCTGATTGCAGTCTGTAGGGTTTCTTGACAAGGATGGGGGGGGGGGCATGTCCCGGGTTGGCCCAGTCGGGTGTGGGAGGGTGTATATTAATAGGGAGCAATGATAGACAGGGCTGGGTATGGGGGGGGATTCAAAAACATCCCAGGTCATCGTACCGCCGCCCCTCAGGGACCCCGGCGGGTCCCGGGGGGTGGTCCCGCCCGTGGACGGGGAGTTTTCAGGAGAAGCTCCCCCTAGGAAGGCCTGCCCTGGTCCTGGCTCTGGCCCCACTCGCGGCCCCGGCCGCGGCCCCAGGGTCTCAGGAGGGGCCCCAGGGTCCCAGGGGGAGTTCCCGCCTTGTCAGGATCGGCGGCACTGGCCATACTTCACTAAATGCGAATTTGATCCGCCCCCGACCAGCTCGCAAACCCGCGCCCGCGGCCTAAGCCCATGACCCGCGCCTACGACCCGCCCCTGCGCCCTCGCTGGCGCCGCCGCCCGCGACCCTCACCTGCGACCCGCGCTCCCGACCTACTGAGTATCGTTTATCCGATCCCCATCCCCAGCGGCGTGCGCTGGGCCCCACTGGCCGATTTACCCCCCTAGATGGGGATATAGGCCGTTCCCTTCGGGTTTCGAGGGGTGTATCCCCAACTGGGAGGGCAATTTGGTGGGGGTCTCGGAGGGGATGGGCATGGGGGTCGGGTAAACGATACTGACCTACACCGCCGTTCCGCTCCCACGACCCATGCGAGCCGCCTGCGATCCGGCGGCGGCCCGCATGCGACCTGTCCGCCGGCTGTCCTCCACGTGTGCGAATCACGACAGACGAGGGGCAGCGAGGGGCTCACATTCACAGGCAAGGCCGCTGCCTGAAAGACAAACAGCGACAGCGGCGCCCATGCACCGTACCGTGTCCGGACTCCGCTCAGGCCCCGCACAGTTGGCTCGGCTCTGTGGGCGGGAAAGGCTATTCACCCTACCAGTCCTGGGTCAAGAGCTGACGACGCCTCGGGAGACGCCGACCTGGCAGGGTGCACACAAGTCGTCCGCGGGCGCACGAGCCCTACGTGCAAGCACCTGCGACCTGTCAGCAGCCCGCCTGCCACATGGCCTCTCCGAAAGATCGCTCGCGCCCGCCGCGGGGTCGCTCTCGTCTGCGGCACTCCCGCGGCCCGCCCGCGGCCTGCGGCCAACCTGCCGCCCGCCAGCGACCTGCCTGCCGCATCTTGAAGCATCGGACCTGGCGGCGAGATCATCTCACCGATCTGCGACCCAGCGAACCGCCTGCGACCCGTTGGCGGCTTGACTGCCACATGGCTGACAGTGAAAACTCGGCCCCGATCGAGCTCTCCACCTAAGCTGCCGCCGGCTTACTAGATCCGCCACCGTGCCGCGGGCACCGAGCGGAGCGACCTCAGGCCTGCTCGAGCTCGAAATGCTGAGTGCTACCACTGCTCTGCGAGAGACGGCCGATTCAGGACAACAAAGGGGAACACCATGCTATCCCTCGGCTGCACGCAAGAGTGACCAACACACTGCTTGGCTACATGTTGGCCCCAGCTCTCGCATCTTATACAACGAACGGAACACCACACGAGGTCACGTGTGATCCACAAAGCACAAGTCGGGCTGGATGCGCAACACGAATATCAAGAGGAGGGCCCCGACAGGGCTGCGACAGAAACCCGCGGCGTGTGCAAAGGGAGGGTGGAGGGGGAGAAGGGGAAGCACGGGGGACGGCGGGGGGCGCGCAAACCTTCGCCCCCGAGTTCGAGGCGCGGAACGCGTAAAAATATGCAAGCTTGGGAGTGCAAGCGCTTCTTTTAGGAAAGAAACCAAAATCTGGCGGACCCCTTGCGGGGCCATCAGGCTCCGCGGCTTCGGCTTGCTGCTCCCTGCTCCAGTTCCACGTTCCAGTCTCGGATGTTGCAATTACGTGTGCTGTTTCCTGCTGTGAACTGTTGAAGTCCGCGCGAGGGGGGGGCCGAAAACCCTCCTGATTACCTTCACCTGGGGCTCTCAAAATTTGAAAATGACACCGTGCTCGCGTCCACAAGGCCATACACCCTTGCAAATTGCTGTGTGTTCGCGCTCCCGATGTTATAACTCCACTGAAAGTATACCGTATGTGCGTCTCCGAGGAAATACTCTCTTGTAAGTTACGCAATGACTGCGTCCCCGAAGTCAGGATCCCTCGTAAGTTACGCTGTCCTTGCGTCCCCGAAATCATAAGCCTGAAGGGGCCCCGAGACACACACACACACACACACACATGAAACGATACACATCCCAAGATTCCCTTATGTCTTCCATCTTTTCTGGAGGTTCGTCTCTCCCCCGCTTCCCGTGTTTCCGATTTTTTCCAGTGGAATCGACGATGAGTTGTGTCTGTGTGTTTTCCCTCCTGAAAACCCTCGGAGAGTAGGCAATGTTCGCGCGTTCGAGGCCACAATTCTCCATAAAACGCCCCGCATGTTCAAGGTTGCCAGGACTGGGGGGCCTCCCGTCGACTACCGACGGGTGCCGAGTCAACGGTATGTCCACCGCGGCCCTCGGAAAGCTCCGCACGAGCCTCGGGGCCGGTCATTTTGGAACCCCAAAAGAGGAGGTGCAGGACGCTGGAGCTTTGAACCGAAGACGTACCCATCGCATAACACGCATGCTCTACCTGTTCTTGCCTGGGGCCAAGCGGCCCGTCAGGGGTGGGTTGCACCCCGCGTGATGGAGCAGAGCTGCTCCAATGGCAAGACGTCCGTGGGCCAGCAGGTGCTGTCGTTCTCACGGTCGAGAGGCTAGGCTGGAGGATACAGAGCTGGAGTAAGTTTGTCACGGTTCGAGGAGTAGAAATCGATATTCCGGTTCTTGGGTACAAGTCTCTGAAGTTGGTTTTACATCAGGCTGTTCGGGATGTGCTTCTCAGAGGTCTTGGATATGGGCAGAAGACTCCTGGGCTCCAAGGAGGTCCCTTGCTGGAGCCCGTCATCGAGGTCATCCAGAAGCTCAAGGGCTCCGACAGGCTTCAGGCTGCTGCTGGGCTCGTTGGGGCTGTTGCTAGAGGTGCCCGACCCAGCTCAAGCTCTACGACGATCGACGCGTGGTCGATCTCCTCTGTCAGCTGTGTGGTGAGGTCGCTGGGACTCCCAGCCACCGCTTTGTGCCTGCCCTGCGCACGCCTGTTCGCCGAGACCGGGATGTGGACGAATTTCTCGCTTTGGGGGAGACGCCCGCCAACAGGCTGCGGACGACACGGTCGTTGGCAGAGAGCCCCGAGTGGCAGTGGCCCGCCCCGTACACGCAGTCGGGCCACAAGTGGGATGCCGTTCCTCCTGGAGGGTGCCTGGGGCCGCGGGTTCGCCTGGACGGGTCCCGAGTGGACCCCGCCTTGCCCCAATTCGCCCCCTAGCTGGTTGGGCCGTGGTCTGCATGTCCGAGGACTCCTGGGGAGGTTACTGGCCATCGCTAGGACGTCCATTACCTGCGTTTGTTCGGTTTCGTGCGTGGTTTTTTCGCAAGATGATCCAGGTTGCTCCTCAGAATTTCCCCGCTGGGAAAAAGTGCACTCGTCCGAGCGATACCAAGGTCATGTCTCTGGGGCTGCGTATGGGCCGTTGCCACACGCGGGTGCAGTCGAGTGGCTGCGGCGAAGTGTGCGCCTTCCTCATGAGCCTTCGCCTGGCTGGCCCATGGAACATCATCTTGAGAAGGGGCCGACCGTCCCGGCATTCCTAGAGTCATACCACGAAATGTTCGTAGAACCCAACAATGCCCTAAGAACAAAAACGATGTTCTTAGAACATAAACCCGATGTGTTAAGACAAGACAGTCCCAGCAATACATGTTCTAAGAACATTTCGTGGGAACCACAAAAGGTTCTTACAACATTGCTTGGTGGGGCCACAGGCGCGCCGGGACGCTTCGCCACTGCTTGATCATCGAGACTCGGAGCAGGGGCCCCAGCCAGGAACTCGAAGAGGTTACGTCCTCGGAGCTCCGGGAGGACATCTCCAGGCTTGGGGGTGAGATAGGCTTGGGTAGGATCTCGGCGTCTACGGTCAAGTCCCGCCTCTCCCCGGCACAGGGCTCGTAGGTCAGGAGCTGATGAATGGAAATGGAGGGCAACTAAGAGGGCTGACGAGCTGGCTGGAAAGGGGGCCCCGGCCCAGCCCCACAATCCTTGGACACGTAGCAAGTAGCCAAGTGGTTCCCCTGATTCGGCAGTCGGCGTGACCGATTGCAGAAATCATGGATGATTTGGCCTCTAGAGATTTCCCCGATGCTTCGAAAATTCGACGGCCCCGTCGGGCCAAGCCGAGTTTGATTGAGCTGGTCCCTGAGCCCAAGGGTCAGGCCACCGAGCGTGCAGGGACGAGCTCGTATAGATGCCTGCACTGTGGCGAACGAGGCAAGACTCGTGCTGCGGTGAGTGTGTGCCCCTCCGGTGGGCCGCCTAGGATTGCGCGGACCGGCCACCCATCCCACAGGATGTGGCTGATGGAGGCAGTGGCCTGGTGTGTTCGGTGCGCGGCTTTCGGGAGCTCTCGAACCCATCCCTGCCTTCTCCAGGAACGCCACGGGAGCCTGCGCAATCGCCCCGCAGAAGGGACTTTGAAGCAGTTGAAGCGAGGAATCGACCCCAGCTCGAAGAAGTTCGTGAGGAGGTCGGTTCCCCTGGTCTGGCAGCCGTCTGGCTGGGCGTCCAGGGAGGCCGGATAGCCACCCAGAGCTGTTTTTCGCCGCTTTATCGGTCAGCGGTAACAGAAGGCATCGGAGCCAATAGGAACCAATAGGAGGAGGAGGAGGAGGAGGAGGAGGAGGAGGAGGAGGAGGAGGAGGAGGAGGAGGAGGGAAGGAGGAGGAGGAGGGAGGAGGGAGGAGGGGGGAGGGAGGAGGGAGGGAAAGGAGGGAGGAGGAGGAGGAGGAGGAGGAGGAGGAGGAGGAGCAGGAGGAGGAGGAGGAAGGAGGAGGAGGAGGGAGGATGAGGATGAGGATGAGGATGAGGATGAGGATGAGGATGATGATGAGGAGGAGGAGGAGGAGGAGCTGGAGGAGGGAGGAGGGAGGAGAGCGAAATGCGCGTCGGCAGCTAGGCACTCGTCGATCTGACCCCCCACCGGCCTCTCGAGCTTGGCGGCCCAGGGCAGGATGCGCCACCTCCTGCGCAAGGGCCGCAAGCCCCGCCCACACTCCGCTCCGGGAGGGGCGGCAGCAGAATGAGCAGCAGCATGGGAAGAGCGAGGGGGAGGAGCAGTGCTTTGGAGGGGAAGGGGAGGCAGAGGAGGGGAGAGGGGAAGCGGATGAAGGGCAGAAAGTGAGAGCGGAGGGGAAAGAAAGAAGAAGAGGAGGAGGAGGAGGAGGAGGAGGAGGAGGACGAGGGCGAGGAGAAAGGGAAGAAGGATGCGAGGACGTGGGGGGAGGGGCGCGAGCGAGCTTTAGGGGCTCCAGATCCTGGCACGCCGCCAACGCATGGTTGGCCGCCTGCCGTGCACCCACGACAGGTGGCTCCCGCACGCGCGCGGGGGTCTCGGAGCGCAGCAGCCTCAGCACGTCCTGGACCAGGTCCGTTCCCTGAGGCGCGGGAGCTGGGCCTCACATCTCCGCGGGAAGGTGCGGGGGAGAGCGCGAGAGAGGGAGAGCGAGAGAGACGTTCTATCAGCGGTGACGTGGAACACGAAGCGTCGGGAAGCAACAGCCAGGGCGCGGCAGCGCTAACTGCGCACCAAAACGAACGGAGAAGAGAAGAGCTGCGGCGGAGAAGGGAGAAGGAAGGTTTCGTGCTCATGACGTGTAGCATGCCAAGCGTTGTTCTTCCAGTTGATCAAGGCCAAAGTAGGTTGGAACATCATAAGACTACGGCGGGTTCGCGCGGCGCCAGCGCGCGCACAGGTTTGTGACACCGCGTCGATCGTTCACCCTTTGAACGATCGCGGCCCCGATCGTTCAAGGTTGAGTTCCGTCGGGTCCAGTGGCGTTACCGCGTCCCTCGGTGCTTCCGCATCGCAGAATTCAACCTTGAACGCTTCGCCAGCGTCGCTGGTGCGCCAACGCCGCCTGAACCGACCGCAGAGGACAACACTTAACTCTTCGGATGGGGCGCCAATGGCTCGCTCTCCCAAGCTGGCTCATCGTACAGTTCCAGAGCCCCTCCGGAAGGGCTTCCCAGCGCGCCCTCTAGCCTCTCACGAAGCGCACCACGCCATAGGCGGCACTCGTTTTGTCTGCTACGCAATGTGCATCGTTCCTGCTGCGATTCCCTAAACAGTGCTCCCACTGAAGGGGTCCGAACGGATATTGAAAGGCTTGGAATTAATTCTTCGACGAGTTTGGTGGGCGGCTGGATTCCTGGGTCCCGGGTTTCGGGCTCTGGGCCGATAAACTGCGTCGAAGACGCATCGAACACATATAGAAAATGGGCGGAAAGCGCAGACCGGGCCTGGACCCGAAAACGGGAAAGAACCTGACACCGAAAACGAGTCAAAAAGACAGCTCTAAACTGAAAGAAAACGGAAGTTCAAAAATCACCAAAACTGAAAGACAACGGCTAATTACCAGAATGGCAACTATTACGTAGATCTTGACAAGGAAAGAAGAGGAGGGGGAAAAGAACCTTCCCCTAATGATCTAATGACATCTAAGTCACCCCTCCCCCCCTTCCCCCTCCGCCCTCCCCCAAACGACGGGTGCAGCGCAGGCTCGGGGCCACCCATGCGTGGCCGCTGGCGAACGCGTCGGATACGACATGACCACGGCGGCCCGCTGACGGCTCCTCCCGCTGACGGGGGTTGCGTGGGAGCCGCGGGTATAATCGTGAAGGGCTATATCATGGCGCAGATCCTTCTGAACTCTGTCAGAAAGGCGGGTGCGAGCATTCACTGCTAGTGATGTTGCGCTGGACCTTTGCGTTGGAGATCCACGTGAGGCGTGCGAGTGAGTGGCCAGCGCTGTAAGAGTCTCAGGTTGTCGAGATCCTGGCCGCGGTCAACTACCCAGGTCATTGCGACCACGGTCATATCGAGAGAGCAGAGAATAGAGAGCAGAGGGTACATGTCAGAGAGTACAGAGCAGAACTGAGCAGAGAGAACAGAGAGTGCAGAATAGAGAACAGACGCCCTAGCGAGTTTCGAGGACATCGAAAACAGAGCAGTAACGTAAAAAGTAGGAATCCAATCGATGTATATATATACATATATATATATACATGTGTATGTATAGAGAAGACCGAAGGAGAGAGAACTGATCAGCAAAAGAGAGAGGGAACGAGAGGTGTACTTGCGACCAGGGTCAGAATGCTAGGACATTCGCATAACAGGGTGTAGAAAGAACATGTCCGAGAGTATAGAGCATAGAGCAGTGATGGGTAGAGAGAGGAGTGTGCAAAAGGAGGAATAATGAGGTACTGCACTGGAGAATTAGCAGTAGAGCGAGTTGATCGAGAAAGGGCGAGACCTCGAAAAGACTTGCTGATTTGGGGTCATCCCTGGTGTAAGTTTAGTGCTGGCCGTGTTGACTGATGGAAGCTCCAATTAGATGTTCGTACTCATGTCGTGAACACGTGCATTATATGTGCGACAGCTGTATCTGCCACCGTGCCTGCACGGACTGAGCATGCTAGAATGCTCGTCTGTTGTCTGGGAGGTTCCTTTAGTCGTTCTAGGGCCGCTCCCGCCCCCCCTCCCCGCACACGCAAGCGTGCCTTGAAGATCGTCCCCTGAGTCTGCTCTGCGTGGCTCTCCGCGGGCTCCAGACGGCCCAAGTGTCCTCCAAGACGGCTTCCAAGGAAGCCAAGACGACACCAAGACGGGCCAATATGGCCCACGACAGCCTCAAGACAGCATTAAGACTGCCTCGAGACGGCCAAAGAGGCCCCCAAAACGACCCAAGATGGCTCCAAGAGGCCCTCAAGGAGAGCCCGAGGAGCAAAGACCATGAATTGCCTTTCGGTGTTTGACAGATCGTGAGGTTGTCGCATGTCTGGTTTCTCAGACCGTCGAAGACGACCCAAGAAGGCTCCACGATAGCTCCAAGACAGCCCAAGAGGCCCCAACGAGGGGCCCCAAGTCGGCCGAAGATGACCCCAAGATCGCCTAATTAAGAGACTCCCAAGAGGGCCCCACGACGGCCCTGAGCGCTGTGCAACAGGACGGCCACGAGAGGCCCCAAAGACGACCTCCGCGGGCGTCAGGCGGTCCAAGAGCCCCGGAAGACGGCCTCCAAGAATGCGAACAACCTTGATTGCCCTGCGGTTGTTGGATCGATTTGGGTGTCTGGCCGCTGAAGACGGCCGAAGTGGCCTCCAAGACAGGCCGAAGGCAGCCCATGCGTCCACCAAGCAGGGCTCCAAGTCGGTCCAAGAGGACCCACAGATCGCCACAGAGCCTCCCTAGAAGGGCCCCAGGCGACCCTAACGCGCTCCAAGAAGGCACCAAGACTGCATTGAGAGGCTCCCAAAACGGTCCCCGAGGGTGTCAGACGGGCCAGGAACCCCCAGAGCCCCCAAGAGGCCTTCTCCTCCTTGTCTTCAATGTGTCCACCCATCCTCCTCCTCCTCATTCTCCTCCTCCTCTTCCTCCTCCTCCTCCTCCATCTCCTCCCCCCTACCGCGTGGACGAAAATCAGGTCGAGTGCACGACCCGCCTGAATTAAGACCGCTCGATGAACTGCAGCGGGGACGAAGATGAGGTCAGATTCACGACTCGAGACCAGTCGTCAGAATTGCGCCGTCCTTACACCCAGTCTCCTTCCTGGTGCGCTGTTGCACAGGCACGGTGGCGGGGTTTGCCGCAGGCAGCTGGGCGCATGTACATATATAATATACGTATGCACATATATATATATATATATGTATATATGTGTAAATATACATGTATATATAATACACATACATATCGACCGATAAAGAAAGGAAGAGACAGAGAGAGAGAGAGATAAACACATACATCAACACATACACTCACGAGATACGTAAACACACAAACAAGCAAACGAACGATCCAGACAAGGCATATATAGAGAGAGGTAAGGATCGGACAGCCATATACATGCATGTAGATGTACATAAATTTACAACCAAATATTTATGTGTGGCAAGGAGGGAGAGAGAGAGAGAGAGAGAGAGAGACAGAGACAGAGACAGAGGCCGAGGCAGCATACCGGGAGAGAGGGAGAGAGAGCAAGAGAAAAATATAAACAAAACCATGTTATATATAATGAAAGAGAGAGAGAGAGAGAGAGACAGACAGAGAGAGAGAGAGAGAGACAGAGAGAGAGAGGAGAAGAGGAGAGGCGAGGCGAGGAGAGGAGAGGAGAGAAGAGAAGAACAGAGAAGATAAGAGAAGAGAAGAGACAGTAGAAAGAGGGAGCGATAAGAAATGGGGAGAAGACACTCTGCCGGCCCTCTTGTGGGACCATCAGGCTGCGTGGCGTCCTGCTCCTCGCGCCAATACCAATTTCCAGGTTCCAGCGTCATACTTGTACTTACCTGTAAACTGCTACTGTCCGCGCGAGGGGGGGGGGGGGGGGGGGGCGAAAACTGCGCTTGCCACCACGCCCGAATCGTGTTGCCTGAATTCCGGTTGGGTCTGGGGCACGTAGCAATAATCCCTCGTAGCTTACGCGAGATTCACGTTCCCGAGGCCAGCATCCCTAGTACATTCGAGCTGCCGAGGCCAGAGTCCTTGAAGATTACGATAGCTTCGCGATCTCGAGGCCAGAACCCCTAGCGAATCGCGCCAACTTCGCGCTCCCGAGGCCAGAGCCCTTTCAGAACTACACCACATTCGCGAGCGGGTCACGGTCCCAGGCAAATTTCGCGAGATCCTCGCACCCGAGGACACGATGCCTTCTACGTGGCGTCACGATTGCCAGCCGTCCTCGCATACAAAGCACTCATTTGTAATTCCGGTCATTTGTAATTCCGGTCATTTCCAATTCCGGCCACGAATTGCAAATGAGAGGTGCCGACGGAAAGGCATGTGCTCAAGCGCTACGCCCAACGTGTCTCCAAGGCGACAACAACAGCAACGTCGTCGCCGTTCCGTGTGACACGCAGGATTTGCGTGTCACGTCTACGCGACACGCAAATCCTGCGTGTCGCGTCGCCCGGCCGCCCCGAAGCGTTCCGGGTGACACGCAGGATTTGCGTGTCACGTTTACTTACGCGACGCCGCCCCGAGCGCGTTCCGTGTGACGTGACACGCAGGATTTGCGTGTCGCGTAGACGTGACACGCAAATCCTGCGTATCACGTCAATCTGAAGCCTCAAGGCCGCCGAGTGGCTGACACGCAGGTTTCGCGTGTCGCGCAGACGCGAACGCCTCCGTGACACGGAAATTCTGCGTGTCACGCGGCCAGGAGCGCCGATCGAGGAGTGCCGAGGAATGCACCCCGAGGAGTGCCGAGGAGTGCCGAGGAGTGCCGAGGGGGCCACGGTCCCCGGCCCTTGGCCCCCTCCTGCTGGGGCCCGCGTGACACGCAGATTCTGCGTGTCCCCACCCCGGCCCCCGGACCCCTGGCGTGCGACGCGCAGATTTTGGGCCCGCGTGACATGCAGATTCTGCGTGTCCCCACCCCGGCCCCCAGGACCCCCGGCGTGCGACGCGCAAATTTTACGTGTCCGCCCCCCTGGCGGGGCCCGCGTGATACGCAGATTCTGCGTGTCCCCACCCCGGCCCCCGGACCCCTGGCGTGCGACGCGCAGATTTTGGGTCCGCGTGACACGCAGATTCTTCCTGTCCCCACCCCAGCCCCTAGGACCCCTGGCGTGCGACACGCAGATTTTGCGTGTCCGCCCCCCTGGCGGGGCCCGCGTGACACGCAGATTCTGCGTGTCCCCACCCCAGCCCCCGGACCCCCGGCGTGCGACGCGCAGATTTTGGGCCCGCGTGACACGCAGATTCTGCGTGTCCCCACCCCGGCCCCCAGGACCCCTGGCGTGAGACACGCAGATTTTGCGTGTCCGCCCCCCTGGCGGGGCCCGCGTGACACGCAGATTCTGCGTGTCCCCACCCCGGCCCCCGGACCCCCGGCGTGCGACGCGCAGATTTTGGGCCCGCGTGACACGCAGATTCTGCGTGTCCCCACCCCGGCCCCCAGGACCCCTGGCGTGCGACACAGATTTTGCGTGTCCGCCCCCCTGGCGGGGCCCGCGTGACACGCAGATTCGGCCCCCGGACCCCTGGCGTGCGACGCGCAGATTTTGGGCCCGCGTGACACGCAGATTCTGCGTGTCCCCACCCCAGCCCCTAGGACCCCTGGCGTGCGACACGCAGATTTTGCGTGTCCGCCCCCCTGGCGGGGCCCGCGTGACACGCAGATTCTGCGTGTCCCCACCCCAGCCCCCGGACCCCCGGCGTGCGACGCGCAGATTTTGGGCCCGCGTGACACGCAGATTCTGCGTGTCCCCACCCCGGCCCCCAGGACCCCTGGCGTGAGACACGCAGATTTTGCGTGTCCGCCCCCCTGGCGGGGCCCGCGTGACACGCAGATTCTGCGTGTCCCCACCCGGGCCCCCGGACCCCCGGCGTGCGACGCGCAGATTTTGGGCCCGCGTGACACGCAGATTCTGCGTGTCCCCACCCCGGCCCCCAGGACCCCTGGCGTGCGACACGCAGATTTTGCGTGTCCGCCCCCCTGGCGGGGCCCGCGTGACACGCAGATTCTGCGTGCCGCCACCCCGGCCCCCGGACCCCCGGCGTGCGACGCGCAGATTTTTTGGGCCCGCGTGACACGCAGATTCTGCGTGTCCCCACCCCCGCTCCCAGGACCCCTGGCGTGCGACATGCAGATTTTGCGTGTCCGCCCCCCTGGCGGGGCCCGCGTGACACGCAGATTCTGCGTGTCCCCACCCTGGCCCCTGGACCCCCTTCGTGCGACGCGCATATTTTGGGCCCGCGTGACACGCAGATTCTGCATGTCCCCACCCCGGCCCCAGGACCCCCGGCGTGCGACGCGCAGATTTTGCGTGACCGCCCCCCTGGCGGGGCCAGCGTGACACGCAGATTCTGCGTGTCCCCACCCCGGCTTCCGGACCCCCGGCGTGGGACAGGCAGATTTTGGGCCCGCGTGACACGCAGATTCTGCGTGTCCCCACCCGGGCCCCCAGGACCCCTGGCGTCGTGCGACACGCAGATTTTGCGTGTCCGCCCCCCTGGCGGGGCCCGCGTGACACGCAGATTCTGCGTGTCCCCACCCGGGCCCCCGGACCCCCGGCGTGCGACGCGCAGATTTTGCGTGTCCGCCCCCCTGATTCTTCGTGTGCCGCCCCAGGCGCGCTCCGTGTGACACGCAGATTTTGCGTGTCACGTGCACGCGACACGCAGGATTTGCGCGTCACGTCTACGCGTGCCCGATCGAGGATGGCTCGCCCCAGATCCAGACTCGGGCGCGCGCTCGAATGCATTTGCCCTGGGGCCTCTGGGGCCTAACAAGCGCGTTCATTTCTAATTCCGGTCATTTGCAATTCCGGCCACGAATTAGAAATGAAGCGCGCCGAAAGGGCGGCGGAGGCCACGTGCACACGAATTAGAAATGAGCACTCTGTACGTATGAGGTTCCGATACTGCTTCATCGGCGGTGGACAAACCTCCCTTTAGTAGACCTCCCCTTAGTGAAAACGGCCTGGGACCGAAACCGACGGACCTGGACCCGCAAGAATGACGGCCGCGACGCCCTCCCGCGAACCGAAAACGGCCAACTCCTTAGTCGACGTGTCATGGTAGGAGGTCTGTCCTCACCCCCGACTTCAGGTCGGCTCCCGGGCATCCTATGCCATGGCTCTGGCGCAGACCCCATCCCAAAGGAGGGGGCCGCGGCCGAGGGCGAAGCGCCTGCGGACATGCTTGAGCGGCGATGGGGCACAAAAAGAGGAGCACGCCGAAGAGACACCAGGGAGATGGGAAGAGCGACTGGACAAGGAAAGAGCTGGGCGAGTGGACAGAGGCGACAGCGCCCGGGGACAAGGAATACGGCTGAGGGGACGTACGATCACATAGAGTAGACACTACGGAAAAAAGGAGAAAGGGAAGTAGGAGAGGGGTGGGGGGTGGAAGCAGCTTAGGTGTAGAGAAGATAAGGACACCTGGATGTATATAATGCACCCGGGTTGAAGGGAGAAGAGAATAGCATGACGATAATATGAACGACCAGGGGCAGAGAGAGAGAGAGAGAAAACGAGAGCAAGAGACAGAGAGAGAGAGAGATGGGCATAGAGTGATGGGAAAATGCAGGGAGAGAGACAGAGAGAGAGGGAGAGAAAGAGTGGCAGAGTGCGAGAGAGATAGAGAGAAAGAGAGAGAGAGAGAGAAAACAAAAACAGAAGGCGGAAATCACTTGTAACATATATTGGTGTATCCACTCGCTCTCTTACCATCATTTGCACTTGCAGCCTTGTGCGATTTGCCGCGTCAGAGAACGACGCTTTCGCCGATGTCTCACGCGTTCGTGCATTATCACCTCTAGTCAGAACATTGCTAATGGATGTGCGAATTGCCAGCTGGCACATAATCATGATGCTCACAATATCGTCTTCGAGCGCCAAGGAAGGAAGCTACCCGAAACCTGGTCGGAGTCCACCGTGCCACTGTCTCCGTCGTACCCCAGCGCCTGCAGAGGCAAGTGCTGCCTCCCACAGCTCACCTGTTGGCCACCGCTGGGCATCACAATCCCTGACGCTCCCTGCAATCGTTGGTGTGGCCGCAGCCCGACTCCCAGGAGCACTGCGGAGGCTGACTTGGAGACCAAAGGATCTAGCGCGGGAGCTTTGGCTAGCAGTACCCCCATCGACTGAGCACTGCAAGCTGACACTATCCGGGGCCGCCCTGCAACTTGGCAAACGTCGTTCGATCACCTCCCCGAGGAGAGGCTCGAGAGAATGCAACGCTCTGTCGGAACAGCGGTGATGGCAATCTGCACTTCACGCAACAAAGGCCCATACGAAGACACGCGTACAAGCTCCCCAAAAGTCTGCCTTTTCAGCTGTCGGCAGCCGATCGAATGCATCATTCCGCATGCGTTTTATCTCGGGCGGGGCATTGGTCACACGACTACCCGAATTATCTCGTCCTGACGTTGGGGGAGCAGAGGTCTCTCGGAAAAGGCGAGGGCGTTTGAAGGGATCACATCACCCCTGGAAATAGCGCTGACCCGCCTTCCACCGAAAATGTAGCGCGCAACTGTTCCGGAACCAATGCGGCGAGAGAAGCTTCCTGCCGGTGTCAAACTCCTACGACCCTGGCCGCCTACAGTCAAAACCTATCATGAGCACGCGTGGCAAGGACGCAAGACCCTTGGACGCCGAAGTTGGGGTATTTTGGGCGCCCGCCCCAAGGGTACCTTGAGAGGCTGGCCAATGAAACATTGAAAAGGACGGGCCGCAGAGGCAGAGGCAGGAAGGGACCCAAGGGTACCCTAGAGAAGGCGCTCGTCCTTATCAAGGGCGTTGACCGTACCTCGAAACAAGCTTGACTTGACACGAGGCTGCCCATTCCTTCCGAGGGGCGCACGGCCAGCAGCACAGATACACAGATCCTTCTGCGCACCAGGAGGGGGGGGGGGCGAGGCGGCCGCGAAGCAGCTGCAGGGTGTCGCTGCCGCCTTCTCGGCGCAAGGACCTCGAAATACGGTCCAGAAGCCTCTGAAAGTATGCTCAGTCATAGGCGACCACATGTGAACCCTACCCCCACCCCAACGATTTCTGAGGGAGGGTGGGGGTTCACTTCGCTCGGGAGCACGAAGTGAACCCCCACCCTCCCTTGGGTGGGTAGGGTTCGCATGTGGTCACCGAACTCAGCCGATGCCCTCGCCAGCAAGAGCTGTGCTTCCAGGGGACGGCTGAGGAAGACGCAGCGAAGGACATCGAAAATTGGAAGAGAAAGGGGAACGGGAAACAGAGCAAGACGCAGAACAGGAATTTGAGGTGAACTGGAGCGGGACTCCGACGGAGAATGGGACAGGGGAGATAGAATGAAGGAAAAGGTGAATAAGGTTATGTTCAGAAGAAGAAGAAGAAGAAGAAAAATAACGACGGTCGTAACCCAGAAATGGCAACGGACAAAGACGGCCGATGAGGCACCCAAATTAGCCCAAGATCGCCCAAGAGGCCTCCAAGATGGCCCCAGGACGGCCCAAGAGGTTCCCAAGGCGGCCTCCAAAGGGCCCGAAGACGGCCCAAGAGGCTTCCAAGACGCCCAAAATGGCCTTCAAGACGATCCTGAAGCGCTCCGAGGCAGCCCAGGGAGGTGACGTCCGACGGCATCAAGCGGGCCAGGATCGCTTTAAGACGACCAAAGAGGCCCCCAAGAAGCCCCCAGGAAGCTCCCATGAGGCCCCAAAAGAGGCCCAAAAAGAAGCCCCAAGACGGCCCAAGTAGGCACTCAAGAGGCCCCCAGGAAACTCCCAGTTGGCCCCAAGAATGACACAAGAAGATACCAAGAGGTCTCCTCATCCTTCTCCTCATCCTCATTGTTCCTCCCTCTCCTGGTCCTCCTCTTCTTCCCCCACTTGTTCCCCGAAGGACTTCCACAACGACTGGGAGAGCGCATGGTCCAATAGCGTGGACAAACGTTGTCCAAACGTTAGGCCACATAGGCGTATCCTAAAAGGCAGGGGGCAGCGGTGATTCGCCGTAGGCGTCTTCGATACCGATCTAGCAAGCTTGATATCGACTGGTTGATCTCCCTATCTATCCATCGGCCCCATTGCTACAATCTATATATAACTATATATATATATATATATATATAGATTGACATGTCTTTCGAACAAGCCTTGTCCATCGATCTGATTGATCATCGGTACCACGATCTATCCATCGGAACAACGGCGGACCAATTGCGGACCAACCGCTGGACAACCACGGGACAACCTCGGGACGACCGCAAAACAACAACAAGACAACCACAGAACAGCCACGAAGCAACCACGGGATAACCGCATTCGAAATCAAGGCCTTCTCCTTCTCACTTCCCCATAACAGATGGATCGGATGAGACGCATCATGGGGCAACCCGGAAGCCTGTGCAGCAACTAGACGAGCGCGCTTCACTGCTCGCAAAGTAACCACTCGCAAATGGCCTGGATCCGCCGCGGGGGATCTACGATAAATCTCATCGAAGCAGACATATGTTTGTCGGACGTGTGCGAGTAGGCACCCTGCGAGTAGTGGAACGCGCTTGGTGAGCAACACAAGCACGCTGCGCCCAACACCCTCGGGCAGCAGCCCCCCGGCCTCGTGCCGGCAGGACCGGGGGTGCAAGCGGGTCCTGTATCGCATGCCCTGGGCAGCAAACTCCGAGGCACTGCTCCCTTGGTGCTCGTGTGTGGTTGAATGTGAATTCCCCCAGCTACTCCAGAGACTGAACGGATGCCACAACAGATGTTGTATACATTGCGTGCTTGCAGCCCTTTGGCACTGTGTCTGCGCAGTGTTGATAGCGCTGGAACTCCAAGTCCTTCACTTCTTGATCTCTCGACGCCTCAGAAAAAGAGCGACCTCCATCCAGCCAGAAATCAGAAGAGCAGGGGGGACCTGAATTCTACGCTGGCAAGAAAGAAGTGGGCCTGGCAGAAAGAACCTCGAGCCCTGGCTTTCCA